ATCTTGACCCACAGCTCCAGTTGAAGTCTGGTTAGAGTTGGCATCCTCTACATTAACTTTAATGGTTCTGATCCAGCTAGTCCAGCAGTCTCTTTTATTTCTCCGTGAAGCTTCAACATGACACGAAAAACTTCTTAAATACACCAGTTCATAAGTTTATTAATGTGCCACAGAGATTGGAAGGTTTTTGGTCTCTTGTCTTTTCCTTGATTGAACAGTAACTGCTGAGAACAGCCCAACCATAGTGCGTGAGTCCTTACCTCCTGTACACCGTGTGACTAGAGGTGGAGCTGAAGGCCTGTCCACCTCGGTACGGATGCTGGAGTTTAAAGTCATACTCCTTCCTGCTCAGCTCTTTGCTCAGCACTCTGTAGGCTTCGTTCAGCTCAACAAACTGACTGTGCAGCTCCGGGTTCGATGGGTTGCTGTCTGGGTGTAGCTGCAGGACGAGGGAACCAGAGTCGGCACACATATATATATATATATATATATATATATATATATATATATATATATATATATATATATATATTTATGCACATGCATACTTTATAAATCCAAACTGAGGTGTCCTTTTTTTTAATTCTACAGGGAGAGGCCTCACCTTAAAAATGAAAACAGAACAGCACCATAAAAACAAATGCTTATCCTTGATTACTCAGGAACACTCCATGAAAACAGGAAGCCAACTTTGAGAACCATAAGAAAGCATTAGCTTAGGAAATGTCGCCCTCTTGTGGCCGATATAATTCAACTGCATGTTTTCAAAGCCAAAACTAGGCTTTGTTTTTTGGTCCACTCTATAAAGCCTTGAACTCAGTGCTAATTCTGACATCTTGAATTGAAAAAGCTTCCCGGATGGGAAGTGAAACTTCTTCAAACTAGCAAACAAAGTCCAGTGGATTGTTTTTTTTAACTTTTTTTGGAATGACCTGGATGACTGAAAATCTTCACCAGCAGATACAATTCAGAGTTTGGTAAAAGGAAGTACCTTCTTTGATTTGTCAAAAAAAGCATTCTTTATTTCATCCACGGAGGCGTCTGACTTGACTCCCAGTAGTTCATAGTAGCTCACAGCTTTTCTGTCATGACAACAATAATCAAAACACCAGACTGGCAATTAAACCTGGACATTTACACAGAATAAAGCATATATTCCTACCTTTGTGCATAGCTCTGGGACAGCATCCGCAGTCCTGTCTTGCAGCACCAAATACAACTCTGGCATAGCCGCAGCTGAGCTTCTAGCTGCATGATGGAAAATGTTCAATACTGACCTGCAGCAGAAAGAGACATAGAAAACAAATTGGAAGAGATTGCATCCTAATGAATTCTATTAGGATATATTAGAAATGAAAACAATTGAATTCCAGTATGCCAAAAGGATTATTATTTTTTTTTTCCTCTGGAAATTAACTTGTTTACACTGCATGGAGAAAAAAAATTTGAAATAGAGGGAAAAACCATGTAAATGATAATATCACAGGAACAGAATCATAGAGGAAGATTTTAACAGAGGACAGCAAGTGCATGTAGGAGATCAAGGATGGTGGAGGTTGGAGTTCATCCTGCTTTTACAAGATATAAAAAAATTATTATCTGGTCATAGATTCTGTAAATGTTTACATCCAACCTCACTGGAATAAAAATAACTCATCGGAAACTGTTATTAATTTATAATGCTGCAGCTAATATGGAAAGGTTGCTCCCAGAAAACCCATGAAAACCTCATTATCCATCAGTGTGCAGAACCAGCTATACAGCGCCTTATAAATGACCCCTTAAACTTTTTGACCTTTTGCCAATTTTTGTTATTTTTGTGAAGAATCAACAACAAGTGGGAACAAAATTTATTGGATATCTTAAACTTTTTTAACAAATAAAAACTGAAGATTGGGGTGACAAAAACTGGCCCTTTTCCTTTCAGTGCCACAAACTCTCCAGAAGTTCAGTCAGGATCTCTGAATGATCCAATGTTGACCTAAATGACTGATGATGATACATAGAATCCATATGTGTGTAATCAAGTCTCCGTATAAATGCAACGGCTCTCTGATAATATCAGAGGTCTGTTTGAAGCGCCAAGAGCATCATGATAAGCAGGGAACAAGGGTTGCGAGGTGTGCTGGTTCCTATCTCCAGCTGTCTACAGGTGAGAGTCGGGGTACACCCTGGACAGGTCGCCAGTCCATCGCAGGACTCAAGATTACGATCCTGCCTTCAAATATTATTCGGCTGTCGGAGCCGCTCAGACCCCTGTACCCCTGCGGAGATCTGTCACTGGGAATCCCCTTCAATGGCAGCCTCTGGCCAGGTCGCCTCTTCAGGGTTTTCGGCTACTGTTCGAGGCTGGAAGTCTTTTTTCACGTACATAATCCAAACTGCAAGCACCAGAATAATAAAATCGAACATATTTTACAGACAGGTTTCTACATTTTAAGTGAATTAAGGCGTTAGTGAACCGTTTCAGAGGAGTGATCATAGCGATCTGCATCAGCAGTGCTGTGTCTATCTCCCTGCCAGCTCACAGATCAGCTTCTCTGATTGGTTGATATAGCGCGTTGAGCAGCAAAAGTTAAATTTTTCCAAATCCAGCAGCCACTGCTGCTTCTGGAGTGCATTGCGTGCGTCAAATGCTCAGAAGCTCATGAGGCGCTGCTGCTGCACCTCAAAACGTGCTGCAGGACCTTTTGCTGCACCTTGATGCACGTCAACCACTGACTTTGGAAGTAAACTAGCCACTTCTGCTGCTTCTTCAGCTCGCGGTCTGAACATAGCATTAAAGTTTGTGGAATATTGTTTCTTCTCCTGAGGAAATTTAAAAACAGGATGAGGTATAACTACAGTTTAGGTGGACAATCAAAAATCTTTGATTTCCATTTCCTACTTATTCACCCATTCTGTTTATATTGCTCACTAAATCAAAGTTTTGCAGCTATGATTTCTTTAATTAGACAAGATTTCCCCAATGCAAATCAAACTTGCTTTTTTGAACTGTTTGGCATTTGGATAAATTGGCTTGGATGACAACTTCAGGGAAGATTGGAAAAAATTGCTGCAACATTATGGACCTTTGAATGGTTTTTTTGAACCTGCCTTTTACCAGGATTTCTAGAATGAACATGCCTTTATGTCCTGACATTGTATTAACATGCATGCTCCTCACAACTAGATGGAGAGGTCAAACTAACTGATGAATAATCAATGTTTAGAATGTTGAGCCTTTCTACAAAGTTGATCTATTCATCTTTATGTTGACTTTAGAAGCAAATTAGTAAACTAATTAATTCCTAATCTATTAATCCTTGCAGGTAAATTCAGTGTGTGCTTCATTCAGTGTTTACCTTTCACTGTGTTTCCATTGAAACTGTTGAGGTTGGCAGAGGAGCATCTGCCAGCAGCAGAGAATGGGATGAATAAAATCACAAAACAACCCCTGAAGCAGGAACCAGAGCTTCCTGTACGAGGAAGAGATTTTAAAAGTGAAACAAAGTTAACCACCGCTGCTTTTAACCCAAAAATTATATGAAATAATGCAGGATATCAGTAAAAAAAACAAAACAGAGTTCACAGAACACTTAGTTCTGCTGCTAATGCTAACGCAGCTAAGCTTAAAATGTTTTTTTCCGAGGCGACAGTGAGAGAGAAACGCAAATAAACGTCTTTTCCATGATTATTTTATGTGTGAAATATAATCAGTAAAGAATATAAGTAGAAGTTAAACCATAAAGGTGACATACCAGAAGGGCTCAGTTTCGTAACGCTTCAGTTTTCCAATACATCAAGCTGCTAGCGTAATGGGACCGGAAATGAAACGTATT